GATTACAGGAGGCACCCTTCCAGTCCGTTTGCTCAAGAGGCTGGGAAACAAACTATTTCCTTTTCCTTCTTTTCTACTTGGATTTCATACGAGTTCCCAGACCCTCAAAGACAGATTCGGATGTCCATGAAATCTCAATACGTCTGTCTGAGGCCAGGAAAAACAAACAACAGTATGCTAGGATTTCAGACTGGAAGTACTTGAGGGGAAATTCGGCTTAGTCCAAAACGACTGAGTCGTTCCTCCCTATAGCAGAGAACTAAGTGAAAAGGCTCAGGTCTGCATGAAACTCTGCTACCCTGGAGCCTTCTCCTGAAGTCATTCTGGAAACCTGGCTGTAAATCCGGCAGTCGCGAACAGACAGTCCCAGTTCCGCCTTTTCCTCCAGACCTCGTACCTACACTCAGACCCTAACTGACCTGAAAGGTCTGTCTGTCCTGACCCCTCTCTCATGTGTCCTCTTCAACTTTTAATCTCAGCTGGTTGTGAAAATGGGGAAAAGTCAAACCCTCTCTTACGTGTGACAAATGTTTATTGTTGTTCCGGGCATTTGTTTGTTGGTTTCATTTTAGACAGGGGACCTCAGGCCTACTTCCTTCTTTCACGCTGATGAGTCTTCAGGTGCTCATCTGGTTGAATTAGATTTAGTTTATCTGAGCCTTGGATATCTGACAGAGTTCTCTGAGAACAAGGATACTTTCTCTATGAAAAAGAACCTCCTAGACAGATCAGAACCATGGCCTGCTCAGGAACTCAGATCCTCGAATGCCAGGTCCTAGACCAGGGGTGGGCATTTTCCTGTATGAGGCAGACAGCTTCTCCTCACAGGGGAAGGAAAGGGTGGCCGCTGGGTTATATTTATGGACCCTTTTCTGTCTCCACCATGTCTGTAACAGAGGATGCAAAGGCGCATATCTGGGCTTGCATCTTCCTCCCGAGTGCTGCCAGGCCACCGAGGCACACCCTCCCTTCCCCAAGTGGAGTGGAGGTAATATTCTGACCACTCAATGACACTTTCAGATTCACTGTGTAAATTTAGCACATTAATCTATATTAGCATTAACCCGGCCATCTATCCTAGTGTTAGAGCACGTCCTAAAAGAAAACAGAATTTGGGGTATACTCGGTGAGAGCAGTAGGTAGGGTCATTCACCCACAAATAAGACATTACTGATTTATGAGATGCCCAAAGGCGAAGTTCAAGAAACGACACTTATCTGCAAAGTTCCCACTTGCTTCTCAAGTAACTGTGGAATGGCGTCAGTAGCTATGGGCGTACTAGAGCTGGAAACTCTGACCTTGCCGTGATGGAAACTGCCAAGTGGACCCAAATTGATTCCTTTCTTTCATTTTTACTTTGTTTTGTTGTTTTCTGGCCACATTCCCTCTTGTAAAAATACTAAGAAGGGAAGGTGACTATGGGCACCTACCATCAGATTTAGTAAAAATCACTAGAAAAAAAAAAAAAAAACAGAAGTGTGATTTAATGATCTGAGAAAGTAAGTGAAAGTGTCAGGTCTGAAGAATTTAAAAATGGTTATAGGTCAAAGCATTAAAAACTTCTTTGGAGATGGAGTGGTTCTCGGGGAGCACCGCAAGGCATCTGCCTGGGGTTAATTGCAGCGCTGCGTGGCAAACAGTTAACAAGTGAGAATTGGAACACCCGGGAGGGGAGGGAAGTCTCTCCACACCATGAGAAATAAACAACAAAGGAGAAGTGTTTCCTTTGGCTTCCACCACCTCCCTTCCTAGAGCTCCGAGGAGCTGCAGGGAATGCCAAGGACTGGTTTTCTCTCAACTGCCTCTGAAACATTTGTCTTCATTACCACTCTTTTTAATCAGGGTTCCTTCTTGAGTGTTTCTGCTCAGCCCCTGAGGGGCAGCTCTGGTCTGCGATAAATCAGAATCCACACCGCAAGTCGCTAGTCAGCGCTCTGAGGGAAAGAAAAACAGACAAGTGCCCACCACCACCACCGGGGTGGAAGAGGCCCCAAGGCCCACAGGCCTCAAGAAAGAAGGGCCTCTGTGCAGAAAGAAGCCAGTGTGGGCCCGATGGGATGCCAAGGCAAAAGGTTTATTCCGAAATGGTGAAAACAAATTGGTCAGACTTAATTACAAAAGTGTGGAATATCATTTCATTTTAACTACAAAACGACCACAAATTTGTTTAATGAATTGTAATTTGTAGCCTCAATAATTTCACTTAAAACTTGGTAACACTAAGAAAAAGAAACCTCAGATAAATTAATTTTGACAAAGCCTACTCTTCACCTGTATTCAGTGATGTCATTAAGAAATAAACCATTCCAGTACTTGGACTCAGCGGTTAGGAGCAGAGGACCTGGGTTCAATTCCCAGCACCCACATGGCAGCTCACAATGGTCTGTAACTCCAGCTCCAGGGGATCTGGCATCCTTACACAGACATACATGGAGGCAGAACACCAATGCTCATAAAATATAAATAAAAAAAGAAAAGAAAAAAGAAAAAAAGAAGCTTCTAGTATGTACATCAGTGAAATCAGCATCAAAAAGTTAGAAAGACATAGTATTTTTTTATTTGAAAATATCTCAGAAATAACCTGAGTTAAATATAATTGGCTAAAGATCATTGATCTTTAAACAAGTCAACTGATCTTTAAACAAGTCATTGATCTTGTCAACTGAACTGGCTAGCGACAGAAATTCCTCTGGATCAGTGGTTCTCAACCTTCCTAATGCTTCGGCCCTTTAATACAGTCCCTCGTGTTGTATTGACCCCACCCATAAATTTATTTCATTTCTACTTCAGAACTGTAATTTTGCTACTGCTGTGAATTGCAAGGCAGTATCTGAGGCAGGATGTCCAACGTAAGAGAACTCTTGCTCTAGACCCTCAGAGTCTATGCACCACACATAACCTCAGACCTCATGCAAGGCTCAAAAGCTAGAGCACTAAAAAGATTTATGTAAACACAGAAAACTAACTTCCTTTATCTTTTTAAAGGGATATAGACTAGTCCTGTAGCAAGTCCTTCCTCGACACTAGGAGAAAAATTCTGCTACGGAATCATAGCAGAGGATTATGGGGATTATGCAAATAAGCAAGCTAAAAGTTGAGTCCGTGACTTCCAAAATAGATGTCAACTGTCCAAATGTGAAATTAAAACATTTTTAATTATCTAACTGTGGGTTGGGCTATTGAAAGACATTACAAGTAGCCCTCAGCCAAACACCTACTGTTTAGGAGCCACCTGCCCAGGAGCCAAGAGTCACTGTTGTTCTGACTACACTGCACCCGCCCCTTGATGTCTGTTTCGTGGCGATGCCATCGCCGACATGGCTGGGTCCGCATGGACCTTGTCCTTTATTCCGAGAAGCACCATTCCAAGGTAGTCAGTCAGGTGTGGTTCAGAGGCATGGATATTTGTTTTATTCCAATTTTACCGAAGATGATACAATACACAGCTAAGGACCTGGGAGGCATGAAAGCGAGGCTCGCATCCTAATCTACATCAGTTCCCCTTTGGAACCGAAACCGTGATTCAGAAGATCTCAGGAGAAGCATTTCCTGATGATTCTAGGATGCTCAAGGAGGGTATAAGGCAAGTACCATTTCCATCTCCACTCAAGACATCTGAGTCCAGCCTTTAAAACAGGCAGCAGGCAAAGGTCCTTGAGAACAGGAGTGACAACACAGTAAAGCTACGTTGTGGCTAGACGTTTCTTTTGGTTGTACGTGATAAACTGGGAGAAGCGGCAGTGTTACAGAGACTAATGGCTGTGGGACCAATCTGGATACTTGTGCATGCTCCGGGCAGGGAGTAATTAAGAAGCAGCCGTGTGGTTATTCTGATGAATGGGGTCTAAGGGATGTACTGACCATTCTTTTGGACATAAGAGTTAAAGATGACAAGGAAATTGTAGTGAATAGTTTCTTATAATTAACTGGGAAGGTATTTTGTTGGTTGGTTTTTTAAGGAGCCCTGGGAGTCAGAATCCACATACTTGCGTGATGATGATTAAGTATTGACAAGCATTTGAATGAGCTTTACATATAAGGGTTACACTTATTAAAAGCCGGTCACAACACTTGGTAGCGGTGAATGCAGTCTTTCAGCTGTCTCCCAAGTGTGTGGCTACAACTGGGCAGATGCCATGGGACAGCACCCCATACGCCGTGCCTTTGAAATGCCAGCTGTTGGCATGGCAGCACTCAGCGTGGGTGACGAGGCCGTGGAATATGGCATCACCTCTATGATCAAAACCAACAAGGCAAGAGGCTCTGCCGGGCGAGAGCAAAGTCACAGAGCCTCCTGTAGGCTTACGGGGAGTTTCTTTCTCATGTCAAGTCTGCAACTCAGCCTCACACAACTGAGTCATCGGCTGAGTGCAATGGTTAAGTCTGACTCCTGCAGACCCCTGAGAGAATGAGATAAACAGTTATTTCTTATATAGACAGGGAAAGACATAAAAAAAAAAGTCCACGGGTGAATAAGAGGTGGCAGGAACCTCTTCTTCAGCAGGACACCCACGAAAAGCACAGCCCTTCTATGCTTCCAGAGGGCTTCAGAGATGTCGAAAGCCCTAGAAGTTGAAAATCCAATCTGGCTGCTATAAAGCAGCCTGACTCAGACATACTCTCATTCTTGACAAGTACCCACCCACCGGCAGGACTGGGAGACACATGGCAGCCAGGCCAAGTTGTCAAAATTGATCATTATAAAACGTCCATCTTCTAAAACTACAACCTTTGCTCAATTCGCTGTTTTCCTTGGAAGAGCACTCTTCTGAGAGCCAGAAAAAGCTGGTGAGAACGGGTGAGGTTCGCTCTTGGGTTTCTAAGTTAGTAAGCACGTCAAGAATGGAAAGGTAAATGAACGGTGGCCTCGGAACGTGTGACAGCAAACAACAAATGAAGCATTTGTTAAGGTCCTCTACTTCAAAGAAATTCACAATTTAACACTCCCCAGAAAATGTCCTGGCCTTCTAGCTCACTGCAGCTCCTTCCTTCCTCTCCAGCCTCATGGCCCCAGCACAGTGCCCAGGCAACACAGAAAGTTCACAGCTAACTGCCTGATCTCATGATCCTCGACCAAACAGCACTTTCAAAAGAACTTCCTGTCTAGCTGTGCACTTGCGTGAGTGTTTCCTTGGCTCAATCAGCTGCCAACTCGAATCCATTCGGCGAAGAGCTGGCAAGCACTCAATACAGCCCCGTCCCCTCTCCACCCTGGGCCTGACATCCGGAAGTGACTTAGGAAGCACTCTAATGGTTACCAAATTTTTGGAAACTGACTTAGCTTTCCTGGGCAAGCCATGTGTTTAGGGGGGATGGACTCACTAATCATCACTTGACCTTGTGACAGACCAAAGGTTGCCCTTTCCCCTCTTGGGGAAAAGGAAGAAGAAAAGAAATGCAGCAGCTAGCCCGATGATGTAAATGCACAGTCCAGCGGGGAGGAGCCTGCAGACCACTGCTTTCCAGATGTGCGACAGGGCGGTGCACTAGGAGCACAAAGGAGACGAGGGTCTGCTGCAGACGCCGCAGGCTCGCGGACTTGCTCCTCTTCTACACCGTTTCCTCAGGTGCTGAGGACTCTCTATGGCTGTCAAGTGACTCAGGACAAGCGAAAAGTGAAGGGTTTGTACATCACTTACCAAATTCTGTCTCTGAAATAAAGATACCTTTCCCACTGTATGGCTGTATTCGGCAATGGCTGTGGCGTGATTTGGCCACATATCGACGGCCCTCACACCCTCTGCCCTTCATTATCTTGTGCAGCGACCAAGTCGAGTCAGGGACCTGAAGGAGGCTCTGAGCACCACGACCCCTCTGTCCCCATTCTGAGCCATGGGTGAAGCAGGCCCTGCTTAGGCCACCTTCCTAGGGCGGCTTCTATGAACTCACCCTTGACTCATGCTTCTACTGGTGGAAGTCTTCCAAAAGAAAAACCCATTTAGTTGTCAGATTTACACTATCAAGGAATCTCTAAAATGAATGAGTTCTTTAAAAGAAAAGCCAAACTTGGGGTAATTACATTCAAATTCCTTAATCATATTTTCCGAGCTCAGTGGGAATTGTGGTGTTTCTCTGTGGGATGTCTTCTCCAAAGCCACACAAATGCTCTGCAGATTTTCCCTTCAAAGGGCCATCTACCAGAAGGACTTCCTCTGGGCACAGCCAGATTTTCAGGAGTGTGCTCCTAAGTCATCCTTTTCAGACGGAATCATAATTTCCCATCCAAGTCTTCTCAGTTCTAGTCTCTTGAACAATCAAGTAAAAAGAGAAAGGAATGGAGATGGTGGGTGAAAGAGAAAGGGAGGGAGGAAGGGAGGGAGGGAGGGAGGGAGGGAGGGAGAGAGAGAGGGAGGGAGGAAGGGACACCTAAACAAGTACTAAGCATTAGTTTTAAATCATGGTGGACACGCCAGCTTAAAGAGTCCTTATTTGAAACACTCAAGCTCAGAAGTACCTTACTTTCTGAATGAAATGTATATATAGGCTTAACTGATTAAATATTCCTAATCAAAACACCCAAATGCTCCAATAGCTCACATTTTTTGAGCAGTACACTGGTAGATTTCAGAGTAGGGAGAAGCCTACTCTAACTGTGGTAACACCTGTCCACTTCCATCTCTAGAACATCACACAATTGGGTCCACGTGAAGTTGCAGTCCCGTCTTCCACAGAAATTTCTATATGCTACTCATGGTAACGGTATGATATGATATCATGAGAAGAAAACAGGGTCAGTATGATTGACAAAATAATTACAAATAGAAAATGTAGCTGGTAGCCATTCATTGCATACCACACCCGAAGCAGGAGCTAGGGACAGAGATGATCGCCGAGGCCACCCAACCATGGTTGTCTGAGAGAATTCAATGCTAAATCTTGGATCAACCCAGGTCCTTGCACAGAGATACAACCAGAAGCAGACAATATTTAACAAAAGCTTAGCCAGAAAGGTCACTAAATGTAGCAAGTACTGAATTTGTCAAAACAATGTGGATCAAATATCACCCATGAAAATGTCAAGGAACTTCTGCCTTCTGTGTGATGGTTAGATGGTTAGATAGATGTAGAAGATGGCCCCATTCTCTTAAGGTCTTCCATGATAGAAAATTTGTGTGCCTGTGATAGAGGAGGACAACACAGGGTGTTTCTTTGTCTGCTTGGGAAAACAGCCCAGAAATCTTAGCACATTAGATGATCTCGGTACCATGTAGTAACACGCGTCTAAATGTCTAAAACTGGTAAAATGAATTTGCACTGCTTCCCACAAAGGAAAAGCCCCTAGTCCTGAAAGAGTTAAGAGACCAAAATTAGACACAGTTCATGTTAAAGGTTAGAAGAATAATCAGTCACTTGAAAAACACTACATAAACATTTTTCCGGATGCAATTTTCAGTCCAAGGATACATTTCCCAGTAGAAATCAACAGCTAAAAAGGAAATCATTTCGTCTCCGTAAGTGCCAAATTGTATCCTGATTTTCCCTGGTCTGGCTCAACTTTCAAAACCAGTGGTTCAACTTCTGCAATCTTTCACCCAATGACTATATAAACACATCTTACAAGACAGACATAATCCTTGGGTGGGCCAATTTATGTTGGATTATGAAAATACTTAAAATACAAAATCGTATAATGACTGCTGTCCTTGAGTTTTTCACTAAAAAGAAAGGGGGGAAGCCATTTAATATAAGGCAGTGGTTTACACAAAGAGGATGGGGCACGATCACTCTCCTTTTTTTTCCTCTCCCCGTCGGTACCTCAGAAGGGAAATAACACTAAAGAACTGTGTTTTTAGCCCTGTGATAATCTGCAGTCTGTGAGTGCAGTTTTGAGGTACCCGCATGCAAGGCAGTCACCTACACAACTGGAATGAGTTAAGCTGCTCGCAACAGGCAAGAAAAATTTCACCCTTGGAAGTATGTTGGATCTTCTGTATTTGGTCAGAGGTTATGGAAACATTAGTTTTAAGGATAAAGTAATCTTAAGTAAAAACCAAAAGATTCATTCAGAATTTATTACTGCCCTCACTCCATACATTTCTCAGAATATACAGGATTCTCCCTAACAACAGTCGGGCTGAATCCCAACCTTTATAACTAGGAGAAATCATACATTTTAAACCTTCACACAAAGGTGAACTCTGTTTTTCCACTTCTTCCTTGATATTCTAGTGATTTTACAGCCAGCTAGAGCAGGCATCCTGAAAAAGTACCTCTCCAGCATGAAGCATGAGGCAGACAAGAATTTTAACTTTTCCTCCAATGGATAAAGTTATGTAAAAAGAAGACATTTTGGAAGTCTTTGGAGAGCATAGAATAAATCATAGCTGTAAGACCTGGAAAGGTTTGGTTGAGCGTAAAGAGATTTTCACATCTGTGCCTGTCCATCCCTGCCTCGGGAATAATGGATCTCCCAGACCAGTCACAGAAAAATGCTGCAAAGCGCCATCCTTCACCAGCAAAACTTCAGAGCTGCATTTGTGAACGCGGCATTTCAGCAGACGTTACCGAGAGCTACATCAAACATCCAGGGAACTAGGGTAAAAATGACTTTGCAAAAACCACAAAGGGCTGTAACAAAGCACAGTGGTCAAACAGCTGGGTGAATAAACTTTTGGGGACACAGGGTGTCCCTAAAATCTTCTGATGTCTATATTAGCTTCATCCTTGCTTATGAGCAAACAGAAGCGTAACCGAGGCAGTATGCACGCCGGAAAAGAACGCACAAGAGAGTTTTCTTTCCTGTGCAGAGCGGCTGCTGGGGGCTACTCATCTCTTTCAACGAAAGACCTGAATACAGGAGCGCCTTAGGGATGGGTTTCCCCATCAACTGACTAGTTCTGTGCAAATGGGCAGAAAGGGTATACTTGAGTATTTTCATTTAAATGTAAAACATTTGAGGCCAACCTGGGAAAATAGGTTGAAGTATCTTAGGGAGAAAAAGTACTGAAAATATAAAACTTTCAAGTTGTTTTCCAAAATCAGAAGGTCTTCAACTCTGAAAAGAACATACCTATACATAGGAAGACATTCAAGGGTGATTCTTTAAATCTACGTTTTCAGTTCAAATATTTTGCATTCCTTTCTCATTTAAGACACTCCCATGAAAGGCGCCATTATTTGTAAGTGAAGAAAGAAAAAGGAATTTGTCTTCCTTTTCTCCACTCCAGGATCTGCCATTGTCACCTGGATCTATTTCCAGGAAGCCAATATTCATTAGGGTTAATCTGCCTACTAAATGAATAAACAAAGGATTCTCTGTCACTCAGAGCCCAGGTGAGCTGATAGCATCTTCCAACACAGAAAAGCATCTGTACCTTACTGTTGAGGAAATTACCTGCTGCAACCCCACACCTGGGATAAGTTGGCAGGCAGATCAGTGAAGCTGAGCAACATATAGAAAATGGACTATAACCATGTTCTTCAAAGGATTAAAAAATCACCCATGTTTTAAAAATGAAGAACATTTTCATATAAGTTTTCATGAAGGAAAACTAGACCGAAAGGAAAAAAAATCAAGTAGAATCAAGGTAATTTCCCACTCCGTTTCATTCCCAACCCAAAGTAAACCAGGGCCAATGACCCAACATTAACACACTGTGCAGTATAAAGAACTGAGAGACAAAGGTGAAGGCCTCCGTGGATAGTCAAGAACTTGAGAGTAACATTCTAAACAGTATGACATCAAGAAACTAAGAAAGGTGTAATCACGCCTTTTCTAGACCGATAAATTCAGACCAAGCAAAGTTACATGACCTTGGTGGTTAAACATAGCAGGACAAAAACCCAAGACCAACCTATGTTGAATTATTAAATTAGTAACAATTAATATTAATAATTAAATTAGCAATGAACTAATATTAATAATAAATAATAACTGTTACAACTTATGGCACAAAATCCCAGGTCTGAGAAATGATTTTGTTCTCTAGATAATCCAATAGGAAACCACTGGTGTTGAATAAACATGAAACAATGTGAACGAATGAGGCCAGAGATATGGGACTTGGTGACTTTGCTCCAGACTGAGTGTGGGATGTGCGTGGGGCGATACAGTCCCAGATACAAGTTTTCAGCAAAACTGCGGAAACTACTTGTGCAGATGTACGCACACACGTGACACGGCCACGTCCATTCATAAGCCTGCGAACAGTGACAGGAGATGATCCTCGGGACTCAGGTCTGAAGGAGGCCAGGGTGTGAAGCCGACTGAAATAAGAGCAGCTCCATAAACCTGGATGTCGGTGACAAGCAACCAAAATGCTGCCCTTGACACAAGGCCCCTTAAGTGGCTGACACAGGTGCTGTTTCTTTATTTAGCTTCTAAACGTGGAAAGGAAGAAGCCAAACTACTGGGTAGGTTATGCATCGTTCTCTGGAGAGACTAGGAACCAAGGAACGAGACGACTGAGCAGAAGGGTAGTCGACATTTAAATGCTGCCTACTGTATGTCGAGCCCCCTGTGAAAAGTCCTGGGTTTGCTCAAGAGTGATAAAAACCAGATTCGCTCTCCGTATACCCTACGTCATCATTACTTGTGGAAGCGGGCGCTTTCCAGCCTCACCGGGTACCCTAACAGTTTTCATGCCACACACGTGGGATCGATACCAGATACGACAAACATGCGGAGAGGTGTGTTCACCTGGGGACACCATCGTCTGGGAAGCCGCACGTACTTACGGCACTTGAGGAGATGTTGAGGAGAAAAGGCAGAAAGGACAGGATCAGAACACGCCATCTTTCACAGTCTTCACCTGTCTGGTCAGGTTTTCAAAGATAAGTCATTTAAAGATAAATGCAAACAGCTCGTGATCTCCACTGGCCCGCGCCGGAGTATTGATGGAAGATGCTGTACGTGAGTGTCATACATGTGTTCTGAAATCTATTTTCACTGAGAGTGGTTTGGGGAGTATGTGGGAAAATTCAGCATGTCGGTTTAAGGAAATGGGTATGGTTTCCCTTTTAAGACCCTAAAAAACCATATGGGAGCAAGATAATGTTTGTCCTGACCTGCCAAGATCCTGTGGCGCTCATCCCGGTCCACACCGCATTCCTGAGGAGAAATGCTCACACTGGGGCCTGGCGGGGTGCAGATGTGTGAAAATGTGTGTACTCGGAGAACTCCCTCCGGGCCTCACATCTTCGCAAGCTCAGCACATGGCTCCCCCAGCCAACAGCAAAGGAGGCTTCCAAGTCCACTCTACTTTCCTTTAAGCTAGTGTCTGGACGCAGGAATCGAGAGAAGGTTTTGTTACTTGGCTCAAAGCCAAGAGGAGCCTCCTGGCTCAACTTGCAATTCTTAAGCCACATCAGACTCTGCTAACTCTTTCCTTACTCACCGAGCCATCTCAAGAACCAGAATTTGTTCATTCTTACTGAGTCACCGGCAGAATCACATACATTTTCGGCTATTTAAATCATGACCACATTAAATGTGTATGTGTGTGTGTGTGGTGGGAGACACCTAGAACTTAGTAGTTAGGAGTACAGTTCCAGCACCCATATCAATAAGCAGCCCCTGTAAGTCCAGCTCCAGGGGATCTGGTGCCCTCTGCTGGACTCTGCAGACACAGCACTCATGTGCAAAGGCCACCCCATACAAATAAAGATAAAATGTTTTAATAATAGCTATGAGAATTCACATAAAATAATATTTTGTATACCATGTAGGAAAAAATCCCTAGAGACGTATAAAGGAACAAACAAAAACTTATCAGTAGCCAGAAGTTTTACTTCATTGTTAAAATCTGATTGGCAGAGGGCTGGAGAGATGGCTCAGTGGTTAAGAGCATTGTCTGCTCTTCCAAAGGTTCTGAGTTCGATTCCCAGCAACCACATGGTGGCTCACAACCATCTGTAATGGGGTCTGGTGCCCTCTTCTGGCCTGCAGGCATACACACAGATGGAATATTGTATACATAATAAATAATTTTTTTTTTTAAAATCTGATTGGCGCCTTGTTATACCCTGCTCAGGGCAGCCTGGAACCTGTGATCTTTCTGTTTCAACCTTCCAGGTGTGGGCAGTACTGGGAGTTCAGGTGGACAGTCCCATCCAGCTCACACTAGCACAGGGTGAGCTGTGTGTATGGGGTGTGTGTGTGCAGGCATGTGTATGCACGTGTGTGTGTGTGCACGTGCGTGCACTCCAAAACTGAGGAAACCAGGGACTGCTTTCAATTCAAGGAAAAGGAAGAAACCGTCCACGAACAACAGCACGTTGGAAACAGACCTGAAAACTCATGCATACTTATGTTCAAGTTCCCATCCTGAGGAGAGTTCACAGAAAGCTACAGACTTGAGTCTTGTGAGCTTCTGGACTGTGACACACAAGGTTTTTTTTTTTTTTTTGTAAATGAAGTTATTTGACCTTAAAGGCTGGGAAGTCAATGTCCTCGTCACTGTCTTGCTAGCAATTGTTGGCTATTTCTATCTTTAGATGCACTAACAGAATTCTAAATTTGGTATTTTCATAGGAACTGCATTAAAAATTTAAATTTAGAAAAACCTGCATTAAAAATACACAATCTGCATATTCAGAGAGATACTGGGGTATGCTAGTACTTACTTATATTTACTTGAGACACGGTGTCCTATATTGTGCTCACTAGTTTTACATCAACTTGGCATAAGCAATAGTGATCTGCGGGGAGGGAATCTCAACTGAGAAAATGCCTCCATAAGAGGCTATAGGCAAGCCTGTAGGGCACTTTCTTTTTGTGTGTGTGTGTGTGTGTGTGTGTGTGTGTGTGTGTATGGGTGGTAAAGACAGGTTTTCTCTGTGTAAAAGGTTGTCCTGGAACTCATCTTGTGGACTAGGCTCGCCTCAAACTCATAGAGATTTGCCTGTCTCTGCACTACCACTGCCCGGCGGCATTTTCTTATTAGCGACTGACGCAGAAGGACCCAGACAGATATCAGATGCCAGCCCTGGGCTGGTGGGCCTGGGTTCTGTAAGAAAGCAGTTGAGCAAGCCAGTAGGCAGCCATGGCCTATATGTCAGCATCCTCCTCCAAGTTCCTAGGAGTCCCTCAGTGGACAATAACTTGGTTAATGTACACTAATGTACCCTTTCCTTCCCCCAACTTTCTTTTGGTCACGGTGTTTCATCACAGCAATAGTAACCCTGAGACATTCATGGTGTTCAGCTTGTTGGATTCTAACTCACTGTAGAGTCCAGGTTGACCTTGAATTCATGACCATCCTATTTCAACCTCTTACTTGCTAAGGCGAGCATATAATTATAATCTAAATAAAATGTTCATTATATAGTCCCCATTGTCTTTCTTAGGATCATTCCTAAGAATAATGGTCTTTCAATACTATCATAAGTGAAATAATAAAGATTAGAATATCTAGTCTTAAGTGGAAAATGTGATAATATGGATAAGACTAGTCGATAAGTTTTTGAAAGTTGATGGTCTTGAATGTTTAAGGTAACAAGTATTGTCTATAAACGATGGGTTTTGTAGTTGTAGTTTTTGTTTTTTAAAAACTTATTACTTGTGTTTGTGTGTGTGACTCTATGAGTTTATGTGCACCATGTGTGTAGATGCCCACAGAGAATAGCGGGCAGAGATCCCCAGAACTGAGATTATAAATGGTTATGGGATGCCAGGTCCTTCATAAGAGCAGAGAATATGCATTTAACCACTGAGTCACCTCTCCAGGACCCTTTGTTTTATATATTAATACATCATCTGGAAGACCCACAGTAATTATATAGTAACAGTCAGTGTATGATTGGCTTTCTCATGATTTTTTTAAGAAGAATTCCAAACAAATCTCCCATTAAGTCTAATGCAGTTTGAGATTTAATATAGCAAGCTGTCATTAGGAACACACGATTCTATTCCTAGTTATCTCAGGGTGCCTTACAGGAAGAAGTGCTAATCTAACCAAATGACTTTTTAGTAGTGAGTACATTTTTCTTGTTGTATCAACTAACAGCGATATATTATAGCCACAGGAAATTTGAAGAAAATCATATTTGATGGTAGATAAGACTTTTATTGCCATGTTGAATTTGGTCAGTACTGTGTTTGGGGATTCAGAACAGAGATTGCTATGTGACTGGGGCAGAGTTCTCTTTTCTGTATGCTACGAACGCCCACAGAAAGTCATCGGTTTGTAAAAGCCTCGTCTAGGGCGAGCTGGGGGGACGCTGTTGTCAATAGGTGTTGAAAAGCTCCTCAGTGCTGATGCTGTTTATCATGAAACAGGAAAAGGCCACAGGCTGTGTGCACAAAGGTGAGAGAATGGCTTCTGCCCCACTTCGCTGTCTGTCTCGGTTAGTGTGAAGCGCGGCGTCTGGAGACTCCCAGCCGAGCCTCATTTAAGCGTAGACAGTACTGAAGTCACGGACAGACTGTCACCAGCTCAGGAGATAATTTCACAGCAATGCTGAACTTTTGTAGGGTTAAAATAGAATAAGAGAAAAAGACAGGTAAGAAAGATCAGCAAACAATATCTATCTCAAAATGCAGCACCAGAGGCCTGAGACGTTAATTCCTAGAATGGATGAACATTCTAGTCCCAAGCTCACCTATGGTTTTGTTGCCGTCAGCAAAAGTTCACCCAGTCATGTGTCATGGCACATACTGTAAACTCTTCGCTCAGAAAGCTGAGGCAGGGGGATAGCAAATTCCAAGCCAACTGTGACTGTATCAGTCAAGACTGCTTCTCCACAGACTAGAGGTGGAGCAGAAACATACATTAAACATCAGGCATCTTGGGGTGAAAAGATGTAACAGCAGCAGTATCAAAACCCCCATAAAACAAAAAACATGTGAGTTGAGCATAGCGCATTCAACCATGTGGGCAACAACTTGGAAGGCTGAGGCAGGAGAATCACAGGAATCACAGGCCAGTAGAATAGAGAGAGACTGGAAAGAACTGGTGAACAGAAACACACAGAGCAGCAGGAAAGAAAAATAAACAAAACAACAGAGAGAAAACAGTCCTTTTCCATCCATCACCTTAAGACATAGCAGGAGTTAGGAAGGGTGGAGTGTGAAAAAGTGAAAAGATTCTAGAAGAAACGACAGGTGATTTTCCAAATCTACTTACTGAAGAAGCTGAACAGACTCCCCACAAGAAGCCCATTAGGAGATACGGAGGAACTGGAGTTTTTGCTTGTGGCTGTGCTTGGTATTGAACCCAGGGCACTGTGTACATTAGGCAAGTGCTTACCACTGAGCCACATCCTCAGCCCAGTTCTGTACATCTGAAGGGCAAGGACGAGAACAGAACCCGAGAGGCAGAGGGGAAGCTGACAGCTTACTGATGAGTAAAGGCACACTTCGAATGCAATCATATTTCTCACCAGACAGGGCAGGAGAAAAGGAAGTGACAGGCTGTGTATTTCCGTGCTTTGTTTCTCCACTCACACACACTTGCACGTATTTGTATGTGTGGTGTTTTGATACAGCACACAACCTTTGGAGTGATGCAAGGCAAGAGCTGTGGGCTGTGACTCACACCCATCCTTCAGAACAAACGCACTAGGGATGTCGCAGATGAAGAAAACTCAGGTGAGTTTACTCCCTGAAGAAGGCAGAGAGATCAGGGTTAATAAAAGTGGGCTTTCCTCCTGTGTTTCAATTTCTAAATCATATGTGACGTCACTCCTTGATGCCACTGCAAGTTGCTCCAGGGTAATTTTTAAAGATAACTACATTAGAAACAGTGGAGGAAAGAGCCGTAGAGGGGAAGTATCCCTCAAACTGGCGGGCAATAAACGGGAAGCCCGTGGGAAAATGGGCATTTATAATATGACAAACAACTACAATAGAGCTGTAAAAAGAAATTCAATAAAAACACTGTGGATATGTGTACTGTAGGATAAGCACTGTATCAGGATGCACCAAATAACAAAGCTGCAAAATCATGGAGAAAAAGTGCACAGGGCTAGAAGGAGAAAGGTGTGCCCACAGTTGCGGCTAGAGACTTCATTTCAGGAGGCCACACTCAACAGCAGAAGCTCTCCTCTGGGGACAGAATACAATATCGCCACTATGAAAGCTTGGCAGCTTTGTGAAATGTTTAATTTCACTTACAATGCGATGCCAGGCATATGAAAACTTTAGGTGGCTGTTTAGGCCACTGTTACTTCAAATTACCATAAACCACGCAACAAGAATGCCCTGAAATAGGAGACCCAACTGTGGTACACCAATGTTACAGAATACTAGCCAACCGTGAAGAGGAAAATGGGGGGCGTGGGTCCCAAGATTGAGCCTATGGCCCCAAAGATGCTTCACACATGCTGTCCTCCATCCAACCAACAGGAAGCTATTAATAAGTGCAACAACTCAGATTTACCTCAAGGGCATTAAGTTCAGATGGAGAAGAGGGGAAATGGAAGTATCAAAGGTCACATATGGTATGATTTAATTTATTTAACACTCTCAAAATGATAAAATTATAAAGATAGAGGATAGGTAAGTGGTTGCTAGGAATTAGAAGTGATGGTGGGGAGGGAACGGTATTGTTATAAGAAGATATAGATATAGATATTTGTAGTGACATGATATCCATTTTAATTGATTACCTGATGCCGCTGCGTGCTCTGCAGACAGTGTCAATGTCGCCTGTGTGACACCTCACTCTACCTAGCGCAGCTGTGACACTGGTGGGAGGGTGGGCTTTATTTCTATTGGGATCCACAGCACACCTGTCTCCTGCATGCTTCCTGCCTATGTAAGTTAGACACTATGGTTCCACGAAAGATCTTTTTTTTTTTTTTTTTTACCTACAGACATTAGTTTCTCGGTGTAAGAAGTGGTGTCCCAGAAAGAGCTCTGTAGCTGGTGCTGAAAAGCAGAAACCTCTGGATCCCAGTTCTGTTACTAAATGTGGCACCTTGTAGAGGTGGCAAGGTGGGGTCATCTCCCAATGTCAGTTTCTTGTATTTAAGAGCATCTGTGTCAGGGGAGGAAAGGAAGCCTCACCTCCTACACTTCTTCCAGTATGGGCTGGGCATTACGCCCTTGGCAAGTGCTCAATGACTTCCCCAGCACCAGCGACTAAAGTCTCAGACTTAATTAAAACTGAGGGCAGGTGCATGATGTGTAGAGCATACATCCAGAAAGCAGCAGAGCCAAAGAGCTGGGGTGGTAGGAGGCTTGGGATGTATCTGGAGTAGTTACACCTGGAAGGGTCACCTTTAGGAACTGAATTTCCAGTCTTTTCACACGTTCGATTCCAACACCCTCTTCTATGCAGCACACGTCATGACATCATATCTACGTTGCTATATAATACATCACATATATATCTTAAATCAGCAGGGGAAGAAAACAGCAAAATGTGATGGCCAATGGTGAACTGGCATATGTTTTTTCTTTTCTTCCTATATTACTATTATTTATTTAT